TGTGTATGTGCATGTGCATGTGTATGTGTGTATGTGTGTATGTGTGTATGTATGTATGTATGTATGTATGTATGTATGTATGTATGTATGCACGTATGTAGGTATGTATATGTGTCTGTATGTCTGCATGTCTGTAAGTGTGCGCATCTGGATACATGTGAATTATAAACACGAAACTGCGCAGCGCAGAACAAAACCTGCAATCGGCACCCAAAAAAACCCTCAACCACATCTCTACAACACCGCGAAGCACCCTAAGTCCAAATAACGACTTACACCTGACTCGCCAAACGCCCTAAGCCAAAGCCTTAAACAGCCTGAGACTTTGCAGTCCGCTTGAAGTCGGTCAAGGTGCGATAAACCATCTCACCACCTGGAAAGCGAGGTAGCGTTCAGGGCTTTAGTCCGGGCGGCCTGAAGGTGTGGACTGTGGGTTTCAGGGTTTAGTTTAGGGTTTAGGGTTTAGGGTTTAGGGTTTAGGGTTTAGGGTTTAGGGTTTAGGGCAGAACCGTCAATCGAGCACAGCAAAAGCTTCAACCTGGAACAACTTTAAGCCCATCAGCCCCGAACTAGTAGTCAAAGCAGGCCGGAATGGAATGTCAGACGATTGCAGGCCTTCTCCTGCAAACTGGGCGAAGAGGAAAATCGCGCCTCAACCACGTCAGGCATCAACGACGAACCACATGCAAGTATCGGTGGAGGGCTTAGGGTTAAAGGCCTTGTTCAGGGTTGCGAATTTTGCTTGGGTTACAGGACCGAGAAGGGTCAATGCTCATGCGCCGGACCATAAGCTTCCAAGATCCATGTTGAAGGTTCAGCGTCGAAGCAACCAGACGACTGACCCAATAGTGTAGACATTGCTGATCTCATATGCTAGGAAGGAGGTCCAAACAGGAGAAGTAAGATCGTGGGGTATCGTGCATTGTACTTATCCGTACTTGCCCTGAGTTTTCTGTAGTCGTGGGGGGCTAAAGGGGCAAAACAGTAGGTTATGGCCCCTCGTGGGGTCTAACCCCTCAAACAATAGGTTTTTGGATCCGCAAGTCAGGCTTCACCTTAACCCCTAAACCGGAAGCATAGACCCCAATGCAGGCTTTGAAATGGGTTCAGGTTTCTTGTGCCGCTTCTAAAGCCGCAAAGCGGAAAGCAAGAGACAACACCATGCGCCCCTAAATCCCTAAATCGCTTAAACCATAAACCCGTGACAACAATCGTTGATTTACAGGTCAGACAACGTTATTTGTCATACTGACCTTGCTTTGATCACTCTTATCTGGAATATTGGCCTCGTACCGGAGACGTTTCATAATCTGTCTTTCTCTTGCTGACTGATTGACTGACTGGCTGACAGACGGACGGACGGGTGCCCTGCCAAAATGCGGTGGTAAGCCGGACACTTTGTAACTTTACAATGGCAGCGCGGCGGCATTCATCATAAAGAGCCATGGATACTGCCAGCCTTCATGACTAGAATGAGCAGGAAAACGAAAACTCGAGCCGCACGTCCTAGCCTTCCAACACTCTCAGCCGTGGCCTGATCAACACTCTCAGCCGTGGCCTGATCTTTGCTGGAAGTTCTGAACCTCTGCACCCCGCGCCTCGAAAGTCATCCAGCAGCTTTTAATTCAAAAGATTAAACTCTAAACCCCAAGACCATAAACAGGTGCGCCCTATGCACCCAAGCCCAAGCCTATGTACCACTCAGGGCAGTGCCATCTCCCTCGAAGTCCAGAGAGGGAGCTGGATGCCCATGCGAACTTGGAACAGGGATTAGACAAGGTTTTGAATTTGAGACTGCGGACTGGAGGCATGGGATTCATCGTGCAGATTTGGGCAGAATACAGTTTAGCGTTCAGGCTGACCGAACAAGCCACCCAAAGCGAACCCTGAAGAAGAAGAGCCCTGAGTCACGATCTCACCCAGCCTACTTCAGAACTGTTGACCTAAGGATCGTCGGTTCAGGTTGGGGGTCCGGTGAGAAGGAAAGCATACCTATAGTCTGCATTGCAGTTTCTTGTTTTGGTTCGGTTTAGCCAGTTTTTTCATTCTGATTCTATAGGATAACCGGAAAAAGGAATTACAACGGAGACTAGAGGTACGTATCATGGCCTGTGGAGAGCTGACCCCAAAACAAGTCCTCAACCGTAAGAAACGACATCTATAGTAGGCTCTAGTACTCACCCCTCTTGTTGGCGATTGCTCTAAGTCCCGTTTCGGAAACTCCTACGAAATAAGCAGCCGAGAGGAGAAGTCAAATGTCTGAAACATATACACTTAAAAAAAAAAAAACGTGTCTCGTACCCTATAGTCCCTATAGGACTCCAGTTACCTCTCAGTAATGGGTTGCTGGATTACTGGAGAACAATGTATCACGAGCAACCTACTAGTTAGGGCAACGCGAGCCCTAAAGATAGTCCAGCGGAAAAGCAAGAGACGAAAGCTGCAGCAGCCAGCAAAGTCAGACTGGTACCAGGTGCCTGCACAATGTACAAGAACAATCGTGGTAAGAGCCAGTAAGCATGTCATATTGTAGAAAACTGAGCACAAAAAAAGTAGTTCGTTCCACCTGCACATAATATGCACACATGTACAACTACCCAGACAAACAATCGTGAATGTGTATATGTACCTTTACATACAAGTTTGTATGTGTATGTATATGTATATATACATACACAACATATGTTCTTTTTGATATAGTTATGCAACTGTCTGGGCAGGCGTACCAAGGTCAGACGCATAGGTCTCGCAGGTGCCACTGATGTCTTCCGAGAGCACCCGGATGATGATGCCCTATGGAGCTCCGGGTTGTTCAGCGTGCAGGGTTTAGGGTTTAGGGTTTAGGGTTTAGGGTTTAGGGGTGTGCGGTTTAGGGTTTAGAGGTTTAAGGTTTAGGGTGCTTGAGTGCTGAGGTTCCCTCCTCCTGTACAATTCCGGTTCCTCTGAACTCCTAAACCCTAGATACGGATTAGGGTTCGATTTAGGGTTTAGGGGTTAGAAGTGTAAGACTTAGCACAACCTCCGCTGATTGCATAACGACGGCTCTGCCCCACCAGAGAACCCTACTAGAGGGGCCTTGATGGCTGGAATAGGGTCTTGTGTCATTATAGCATAGCTGTCTTCAGGAACATCTCGAGTTGGGTTATAGTATGACATATTTTCTGAGAGTCTAGAATCTGGGCGCCTAGATTACCTTTATCGGCTTCATCACCCTTCCTCGTGTTGCTCGAACCCCAGCACTACAGCAAACCTGAAGCAACAATACGATTCAGGGGTCAGGCGGGGTTAGGGTTGAGGGATCGCGCAGACAATCCCAAATCTGAAGAAATGTGATGACTCTTGCTACGACGTCCCTCGTCCCTTAAGTTGAGGACGAATTAACAGAATTGACACACTCTTCTTAGTGTTCGGGCAGAAAAGGATCGAAATTCAACGTCATTTCCGTGAGGCTGAACGTGGACACCTGTCGCATCACTCAGAAAAACGAATTTCTCATGCCGTAAGACTTTAAGACTACTGAGCTGGCCACCCGTAACCTGCAAAAGAAAGTCAAAACCAAGAGCCGCACGGTAAGGCGACCTGCATCCAATGGCCACGACTCGATCATGAACACCGAAGTCGTAAACCCTGTAAGACCCAGTAAGCAACCGTATTGCCCTGAACCCTAAACCCTTCAACCCAAAACCCCGAAACCGCATGCAACTCCATACTGCAAAACCCAAAGGCCCTGCTGTTGATGATCTAAATCCTGCATTACCTTAAGGACCCCAAACTATGGGAATTATGGTAGATTCCTCATTTTGAGCAATTCAGCATTTATATCATCAACCGTATCACCCAGGCACCCTCTAAACCCGCACAACAGCACGAGCCTGCACCGTCGTCTCCTCAACGAGGCATACACCGCCCGAGGGTCGCCTTAAAATGGCCCGGTTCAACATCTTGGAGACCAGGATCTCGGATTTAGGGTTATAGGGTTCAGGGTGTATTTTTCATGTCGTCCAACTAAAGCCACACACAACATGCGCACCGAAGCAGTCTTGCTGCGAAATTCCATTTAAATGGGGGTCGCATATTTAGTAGCTCTTGTTGTTGGTGTTCCTTGCAATCGATGCTGCTACAACTACTCTAGCTCTGGCCGCTCTTGGGGCGGCTTGATAAGCAGGTGCCTACGATGAAGACAAATAAAAGTGAGCATAATGATAACTGTGGCGGTGGCGATGGTGATGATGATGGCGAAGACGAAGATGATGAGAACGATGACGATTACGATGGTGATGATGAGGTTGATGACCAAACGGATGATGATGGCTGAGGACGACGGTGAGAAAGATGATGACGACGATGGCGCTGACGAAGCTGCCACTGTTGGCAACGAGTGGCCTGTTGCCCCGCCTTTTTGCTTGTTGCAGTTGGATTGTGGTCTCGGTGCCGGCTGCTTTTGAGTCTGTGGCTGTTGGTATCGTTGGATAATAGCACTGTATAGCAGCGGATAGCACTGTTTACCGGCATAGCTCAGCCCACTGCTATTCATCAAGAGCAGTATTGCAATCAGACTCGGCCTCAAATTCTAGATTCTGGCGTGGCAGACAATGTAGTTGCTGCTGCTGTCCTTGCTGCTGCTGCTCTGCATGCCCCTGCTGCTGTTGCGTACCAGGTGTGGTCGTCTTCGTCGTCGCTGTCGTCGTAGCCGTGGCAGGGGCATACACCTGAGATCCGACATCGCATCAAACACCACCTCTTCAGTTGAGACCCCACATGTCAACACAACGACACCCCTCACAAAATCCTGAGCATTTTGACTAGCTTGCGAGCCTGACACAGTACTCCCGACTAGCATCATGCTCCACTCCTTATGCTCTTCGATGTTGAAGCCTCGATACAGGCTAGCAGCCTTACTGGCTCGACAAGTAGAGTGATATAGGGGCCTTAATAATTAGAATAGGGATTCGGGGCCCATTATACTATAATTATAATGAAGAACCCCCAAAATAATGTAGGGCGGTATTGAGACCCCTATATTAGGGTTTGGGGCGTATCTTATCCGATACCAAGGACTCTGAGGAATAATACGAATAGTTATTCCGACCCCCACGTTACTTGTTATGATTATGATTTTTGAGTATTATTGATATTATTTAATATGATTGCGGCTATAAGAAACAAGAACATTGTCTTTATTATGACCATGAGTTATTATTGTGATGATTAGTATGACTATGACTATAAGAAACAAGAGCCAGTTAACCCTAAACCCTAAACCCTATAAACCCCAGACCCTAAACACTCTATAAACCCTATAAGCCCTACAAACCCTATAAGCCCTAAACCCTAAACCCTAAACCAGGTTTAGGGTTGAGGGCCTAGCGAAGTCTGGGGCTTCGGGTCTCGGATATAAGTTTTAGGGTTCAGCTGCTCCTCACTACAGAAA